CCTGGGTGGATTTTCCATAAAGCAGGTATTTCATAAAAGCAAAAAAACATTGCAATTCTCTAAATCAACTTGCGTTCAGTAGCTTCTGCAACAGCTATGGCATAAACCCCAAGATTAAAGCAAATCTCATCAGTTTTATAGTTTAAAAATTAGCCTTCTGGAGCTGTCAGCACTCAAAAGTGCTTCCTGTGCCTTCTCTTAGTGTAATCCAGACAACAATTATTTAAAGTTGGAGAGTACTTTAAGATATACTTCTATACACTGATTCAATTGAGTTTTAAATTTATTATCACCTAGTACAGCGATCACCATGGTATGGACTTCCTGTTTCCTCAAAGTGCATCTTCCCTAAAGCAAAGAAGCAATTTTGGCTTTCCTTGACCTCACCGGAAAAGGATATGGTTCGGAAGACCAAGAAGGTTATTCCTAACCTTCCAAGACCAAAAGGGCATTTTCATCAGTTTTTTTAAAAGAGCCCAAAAGAAGAGGGACAGCAAAAAAAAAAAAAAAGAGGACATCTGGTAACCCTAGATCAACCGATTGGGACGTTCAATAAACAAAGAAATGTGATTAGGATTGCAGAAGTCTTGAACCAACCAGAAGTCTAAAAAGCAGAACTGAAGCAAAGCTAAGTATTAACATGACCCATTCAACGATGTAAAAATGACATCGTAGGATCCAAATTGCAGCAAGCGATACACAGTAGTATACATCCCAGTCCCTAATAATTTAATCAAGTAACTTTGTCAACCATTTTGCACAGTGCAACCCCATTACCTGTGTAGAAGCAACCCTGCAAGGCACACTGGTTTTGATACGGCATATTGCAGCTAGAGCAGTTGAGAGGATAGGTGGGACCCTAACACATTGCTGTATAAAAATGAGATTTGAACCAGAGCCACTCTGACTTAAAGCTCATTGCTCTGAACCGCAGTGTGGTAGAAGGGCATATTTGGCCAGACCAAAGCTTTACTGAGTCCAACACGCTGTTTCCGACAAAGCCTGCGAAAGCAAGGCAGTTCGTGCCATGGCCAATCAACATTAGCGCATGCCAGAGTCAACAGATTTCACAGTTCTTGAGTTGCAGAGATGTTCCTAAGGAAACCCCCCACACACACACAAGTTACAAGACCCCATTATAAGATGTACTTTTAAATTCAGGCTGAATGGTGACCTGGCCCACAACTGAAAATCAGTTTTCCTGATCTCCTGTGTGTTTGTGAAGGGAATCATAGTTCCAGTTTAGGCCAGGGTGAACTGGCTCCCATACTCACATAGCATCTTCTCTGTTACATCACGGAAGGGGTCAAGGACAGTGGGTGGTGGGTGCAGGAGCTTTCCTCTGCGATCAGCTAAAATAGGATGGTTAGGCTGTAACGCAAGCCGTTGGGGAGAGGGGAGAGTTTCCGATATCTGTTGGCTTCCTATAGTAAAAGTAAAGGTTTCCCTTGCTCGAAAAGCCAGTCGAGTCCGACTCTAGGGATGCGGTGCTCATCTCCGTTTCCAAGCTGAAGAGCCAGTGCTGTCCGAAGACGTTTCCATGGTCATGTGGCCGGCATGACTAGACGCTGAGGCGCACCGAACGCTGTTACCCTTCCCACCGAAGTGGTACCTATTTATCTACCTCCAATTTCTTGCTTTCAAACTACTAGGTTGGCAGGAGCTGGGACCAGAGACGGGAGCTCACTCCGTCATGCAGCACTCGGGTCTCGAACTGCTGAACTACCAACCTACAGTTCAGCATCTTAACCATTTGAGCCACCACAGCCCCTGGCTTCCTATCCCTTTATATAAAAAAAAAAACCCTTCATCATTGGAAGGGCCTCTCTGTGCACCCAGAGCCACTATTCGGGAGGGAGGTGTTCTGGACCCTCCATCCAGAATGTGACCGTTCTCCTGAGGTCACCTTCGGGATGGAAGTAGTTGGTTCCAAAATGGAGGGGGCTACATACCAGAGGGAGATGATGGAAGGGTGTGGTCTGTACAAAGTGGTAGGGAGGTCAGTCATCTTATCGCTGCCGAAGGGATAAGGGTGTCCATTGAGGGTGACTAAACAAAATGGAGGCATTAGTCAGGATGGGGTGGGTTTAGGGTTATGTTCACACCAAGGTAGAGAGAGAAGGGAAGCAACCCTTTCCTCATGTTGGTGGCTGGGTGATTCTTAAAATGGGAGGGGAGCCCGTTCTAGGGAGCACCACCTGTTGCAATATTGTCAGACTGCCAAGGCACAAGAGACAACGGCTAGTTTGTTCCTAGATTTGTCTGGCTGTTGGAAGGGGTGCTTTAAGAATTATCCCCCCCCCCCTCCAGCATGCTTTAAATGAGGGAAGGGGGACAGGGCCGGCCACCGTCTTCTAATTGCTACCCCCTCCCCTTCTTGGCTGAGGGCTGCGGGGGCGGGGCTTGGGGTGGAAGGGGCGGGGGTCTTTTTTGGCGTGGGCCAAAACCGGGGGGGGGGGATTATTATAAACTTGCATGCTTGTGTTGCACAAAATGGGGAAAGTGTGGATGGGACTGCAGACAATGGGTCAAGGGGGGGTCAGTGGGTCATGAATGTTGGGGGAGGGGATATTGGGTTGGGTGTCCTGCAAAAGTGGGGAGGGGAGGGGGGCAAAGGGGGAATTGGGGTGTGGGCGCCAGGTTTTGGGGAAAACTAGGGGTTTTCAGTCTTGGGCGTCTGGGGAAGGGATGCGATGGAGCGAGGACTGCGCGTTGGGGGCCTGGCCGTTGGAGAGAGTTCGGGGGCGGGAGATCTGCGACTTAGGGGTCCGGAGAGGTGCGGGAACCGAGGGGGGGGGCTTTAAAGAAAAGTAGGCTCTGTTTGCAACCAGGGACTATGCATTGACATGTAGGGACAATTGGGCAATAGGAGATTGGGGGAGGGGGAAGAGTTGGGTTTCTGGATAAACAGAAGAAAACGGAGCGTGTAATGTGGGGCAGGACCTTGGGGGGTGCAGTGGGGTGGAGAAAGGGGTTTTGTTCTATAGTCCGGCCTTGGAAGCCGCTTAAGAGTAGCAGTAAACTAGGCAGGCTGTAGGCATGGGGCAGGTCAAGCGTGGCTCTTTGGGGAGAGGGTCGAGTTTGGGGGGGGTTAGGGGCTGCAAGTGGGGTCCCAGAAGCGTGTTCACAAGTGGCTTGGGTGGCGGGGCATCGTTGTGCCTTCTTTATTTTAATAGACCTCGAAGCAAATGGGCTTGGGGGGTGTCGGGGGAGATTAAAGGCGAAGTAGGTCGCTGAGGTTGAGATATGGGGGGTGTCTATGGGACGGGGTGGCCAAGTGGCTGGGTTAAAAGAATTTCCTACATTGTGCCGGGGGTTGGACTAGATGGTCCCGGAGGTCCCTTCCAACTCTGTGATTCTGTTCTGATTTGGAAGAGAGGAGGAGGAGACGGGGCCAGCTTAATCGGGGGACGGACAAAAGTTCACGAGCCGAGACGGAACCGAAAAGGAACAAAGGAAGAGCTCGCCTGTTGCCCAGCGGACATCTGGAGGCTTTTCTGAAGAGCCTTGAATGGGCCGTGGCGCATTCATCTTCTTTCCCTCCCCTCCCGTCTGTGAATTGTATCACTGCGCTTTTATAAATAAAGGGTGGAAAGAAATGAGGGATTGTTATATGCCCAGGGAAAAAACCCTGTAGAGCAAATGGCTCTTTTAGAGGTTGGACAGGCATGGGAAATCGTCTCGCCGCGTTGCAGCTGCTTTTAGCTTCAGACCGCGGAAAGCACAGCCAAAGGACCCCGTTGTTTTGTTTTCAGTGTAAAGGCATCGCGCAACCCGCGACAAGTCCTTTCTGAGCTGAGGGGATGCGAACCAGGTTTCTGTCCCGTCGTCGGTGATCTTTCCGATTTTCTTGGGTTCCCTCATGCTTTTAATTTGATGCCGACTTTTCATTTCATGCCGCTTGGTTCATAGCGGTGCTTTTAGGGTGCCGATGGCTGCATTCGTTTATTTATTTATTTATATTTACGTTTATATCCTGCCCTGCCCTCCCCGCCATTCATTTACATCCCACCTGTCTCCTCAGCGGGGGCCCAAAACCTGATCACATTGTTCTCTACTCCACTTCATTCTGTGGCTCTGTGGTAAAGCATCTGCTTGGTATGCAGAAAGGTCCCAGGTTCAATCCCCGGCATCTCCAGTTCGAGGATCAGGTAGCAGGTGTTGCGAAAGACCTCCACCTGAGAACCTGGAGAGCTGCTGCCAGTCTGAGTAGACAATACTGACTTTGATGGACCGAGGGTCTGATTCAGTAGAAGGCAGCTTCATGTCTGTTCGTGTGTGTGAGAAAGTTGCACTCTGTGGAGATCTATCGTGTCTATCCGTGAAAATCCTCCATGTCCAACCCATTCTCACAACAGCCCTGTGGGGTGGGTTAGATTGAGAGCGTGTGACTGGCCCAAGGTCGCCCAGCAAGCTTTTATT